AGACTATTCACCACCCTCAGCAACTTGCTGGCAGCAATGTTCGAATCAGGGACCTGAAGCTCCATTTTCAGCAACCTCAACCACCAGACCAAGCCCCTGAGGACGGTAGGTGACATACTTAAATAAGAGGCAGCTGGATTGTGGGCATTTCCTGCCGTTGATTCAATAATGTCTCTTCCCTGATAGACGGACTGGTCTGGTCTTCCATTATTGAGCTTGAAGCCATTAAGCAAACATCATCCGACCGACGTCGTACAGTTGCGACCTTTCCTTACAGTTTAATGCGTGACATTTCAAAATGAGATTAAAATCCACTTTCGAATATAAGGAAGTGAGCAAGTAATAAGCAGACGACAAGAAAATAATAATATTATAAACGTAAATCTTTTGAACAGATTAAAAAAAAAATCTGTAAATATGAAAGACAACTTACTTGATATTTACTAGTTCGAAATTGACAACGACATTCTCGAGTATAGTGGCATAAATGGATATCCACATCAAAAAAAGGGGAAAAAAAATAGCATCAGCAATCTTGAGTCCACATAATTCAATCCATGTTAAAGTTACCAATGAGTAAGGAGTTTCTACCAAAAACTTACCGCTTTTGAGATGGAAGGTCTTTTATAGCTAAGAAAGCCTGCAAGTTGATCTAGCAGTCTAGACATTAATATACGATCAAACGCTTGACAGCAAGAAGGAAACATACTGACTGGTTTTCTATATATTTTTTTTTCTAACGAGTGAAGCGTGGGATATAAAAAATGGAGAGAGAAAAGGAAATTAAAATCTAGAACCTCTAATTCTTAGAGTCTCGACTTTATCTCTCGCTGTGTAATATACAATTTTTTTTTATTTTTTTTAAATAGAAAAGGGGTGAAATTTAAAATGTGAAGAAAAGGAAAAGGGATTAGAACCCAGAGAACCTCTGATGCCTCAACCCTAATTTGTGTGTATGTATGCATGTACAAATTATTTTTCAATATTGATATATATTTTTTTTTGGGAAACGATAGGATTGACCAAAATATTGATACTTACTGTACCTAATAATTGAATCATTCTGTAGATAGTTATTGTACCTATTGCTTTTCCTTCAGACCACTACGCAGCCATCGCCACGGCCGCTGCACCACAACATAATTGACAACAATATTTTGAGCACTAGATATGTTTGTTTGCTTGCTACCATTTTGTGAGAACAAGGTGGCAGAAAATATATGGTCCTAGATCTTTGCTTCTGTCTCCTATTCCAACATAGAATTTAATGAACAAGAACAAATTTGTCTCAAGCAGAAAATCATCCTCATAATTTGAAAATAAAAACTTCCTTTTTCCAAACTTGCACTTTATCTATATTTTCGGTGTATATGTACAAGTGATGGGCAAATATGATTGTTGTAGGCTTTTTTATTTACCATTCAAGAAGTGGGGTCTTCAAAAGATATGTATGTGCTCCTTAAGGCTTAAAATGGGCATTTGACAACACAAGATGAACAGGTGGGACGTCCATTTTGTCAAGGTGAAGGGAGCTACAGCATCCACCCATAGATACAGAAGAAGTCATATTTTAAAATTCCTTGAAAACGATCTCGTTCTAGTAAGTTAATTGCAAAAACAATAGGTCGTTCATATTGGTTTTTTACAGCCCCAGATGCACAAATCTATAAGGTTGGGGGTGGGAACGATGGAAAGGTCGGCAAACGAATCCCAGATACTCTCTACTTTTAAGCATGTTGAATTTGAGACCAATATCCATATGGGGTTTTTCTCTTCCGCTGGTCATCCAAGAATAGGGATATTTTCGTTCTTAAGAAAGCACTGAATTTCTGTGATTGTTAACAAGTGTTGGGTTTATATGATGAACGCCCATTAAAAAATCAGAAAATTTTGGGAAAAATCTTCCTCGAAATGTGTCTCTTTTACCAGTTATCTTCGTTCTTGATATTATTATTAGCTGAACTTTATACTGCAGGCCATTTGTTGGATGTGGTACATCATGAGTTATATCATTGAGTCCTACTTATCATTTGACATCGCACCTTACTACGTACGTAGTAAGACGTATTTCGTGTGGTTTTAATCTGCAACAAATTCGTGCTCAGATTAGTTGCCTGGAGGTCCAGAAAGAAAAGAACAGAGACTATATTGACTACCATTTGTGCAGTTTTCTTCTTTGTCTTGATGAAGTAAGAGGCTCAACAATTCCAAATGACTTTCATGCAAGACAAAAAACAAAACCCAAAAAAAAAAAATACATTTTAGATATTTGGCAAATATGAATGAGAGAGTAGGGTACGGTACCATGACTTAATTATTCGAACCCAACTAGAAAAGATCTAGAGCCCCAATCCTCCCCATGCCCTCAGCAGCTTCCTGTGTTGTAACCCGTGTAACAAACAGGCTTGATGCTGGAATAATACTACTAGTAGTAAAACAAGCAGTTAAAACCAAGTAAGAATGACACATTGCCAGCGTCATTTTCAGTACGAGCAATTATATAGCATCCACGAATTTTTCTTTAGAGGAGGGGGGGAAATGGAATTGCAATTATTCTTTGGTGGGATGGTGACAAGTTCCTTTTGTTTTCGCTTTTCCTGATTCCTGAGGCCATATTCTTCTCATCTTCTTCTTTCCTTGCTTTTGAATTTGTAAGATCTCTCTTCCCCCTAATACATGGATGGATGGGTCCCCAACCAGTAGAATAATAATTGATGTGCCAACTTTGTATTTTTAGGTGACTTTTTGATTCACTGCACCTTCTTCTTCTGCAGCTCACCTAAAATACCAAAGGCCAAAGGGTAGTTTGGCATCATCCCAGAATCTCCTTTACTTGTTATGGAACAGGATAAAGCCAGCAAAGAAGCTTCAAGTCCAGCAGGTTGTTTTAAAGGCAAAAGCTACTTCCTTCATTTCCTCTTCTTTTTCTTGTTTTCAACCATTTGGGGCCATATATTATCAAAAATCGTCTTCATAATTATATTCCTTTCTTCGAATTTCAAGCAAGGTTTAGATAGTGGAGCAATGATGCTGGGAAAAAAAAAAGCACCTTCATTGCTGCATGCTGACTTTTTGATGCCGTGAATCTACCCTAAATAACTCAAATATATAACGTCAAGTAAATTATTACTGCTATCTGGTAGTTCCCATCTTAATCATGTGTCCTCTGCTTTCATCTAATGACCTTGAAATATACTCCCGAGTTGCATCAAACGAAAAGGTCAACATAGGTCTAAAACTTCTTTGCACCCTCCCATTTAATAGTAGTTAAAGTTATTGCTGGAATGTTTTATTAGTATCTTTTACTTTCATAATGTTGCGTGTAATCTTATGATTAGATGATTACCTTTATGGATATCCGGTTGCTAATAGTATGAATAATGGTGTAAAACGTGTTGCTCTTAGTATCCTTTGAAGTTGTTATAAAATGGAGGATACTATCTGATTGTATGGCACTGAGAAGGCAATGCTTTGGAAAATCAATCATTGGATTTTGATTCCATTCATCAAGAATGAACACTAGACCGAAAACCAAGAAATTCGAAGTTTGATCTGATCCAATTGACTTTTGTGATTTCTTGTTGGCCATTGTTCCTTTCTTTTTCCTTTCATGATCGATCTTTACTCTTTCATCTTTCTTTTCTTTATATGGTTTTATTTAGATCGATATCTGTTAAACACGTCAATCAACTCGATCAGGCATGGGGAGATTGGATCAAGAAAGCTATATCCTTCCCTATCGGATTGTAGACAGATTTATCTAGCTCTTTCTGTCAGAAAAATGTAATCAACTCCTCAGCAAATTCCTTTTCTACTCGTGCATGAGAAAATTAGGGAGGCAAAAAAAAAAAAAAAAAGGGAAAATTTGAACCCCAAACGTTTATCCCTGCAAAGAATGACCATTCCAATTGGTACAAACCTTTGATCTTTTACTTTCTTTCAGTACTCTGAGATTTCATTTTATTATCTTCATTTTTGCCACCATATGCATAGATATCTATCTCAAGGATCAGCTTTATAGGGTACGCTTTGTTCAGCTCCCTTATTTCTTCCACTTTCTTGGATGTCTGACGACACTTCGGAGATGAAAATAATGGAACAATTACATGATGATAGATTTCTTTTTCTCTCAGTCTTATCTTTTTGTAAAGTACTTTTTTGATAACGTAAATACAGCAAGTTTGTCCTAAAATCTATTGCTAGATTCCTTGATTCCTTCTGCCCTACAAAAAACAAAAAGAATCTGCCAATCCCACCACACCCTCGAAAAAGAAAATGTCAAAGGGGAAAGCAAGAATTATATAGTTTTGAAAAAGAAAGACCGACTCGGATTATCTCTTTCCATCTTTTAAAAGATGTGTATTTAACAATCTACAAAGACAAATGGAAACCACTTTTGGTGAAAATTGCCTAGTTGTAGTGGTACTGCTATTAGACTGGAATATGGAGCTCAAGCACCGTACATGTCACTTCCAACACACTCCTCCAATGGAGGGTTTTTTTTCACTGCTAGATAGTAGATAAGAAAAGAAAAACTCATGAAATCATTATTGTCATTATACTCTTCTTTTTTTTTTTTCAATTATAGAGCTTGTCACAGTTTTGGAAAAGTTACGTCCATTGTACATCATGGTGGGGCTGCCAAATTCACCAGGGAATCAAGCAAAGGAGAGAGGGGAAGAGAATGAGCGTGGGGGTTGGAAAACAGCAGAATAAAAACAAACCCTACACTTTTTCCTCTTTCTCTCCTTTTGAGACCCAAATTTAGGTGTTCCTCTTTCTCTGTTTTGCTGCCTCAGATTCTTTCCACCGTTTCAAGTCAAAGAAGAAAATCTACACACACACACCAAAAGAAAAAAAAAAAAAGAAAAAGAAAAAATGAATAGAAAGAAAGAAAAACTTGATAACACAAAATAAAGCAAGTTTGATATGAAATGGGAAATGAAGAAAGGAAGGGCCACATCTCATGGCATATATTCCTCCAACGTAACCCTCGGTCATGTTTCCGGATACGGAGTGAGAACATAGGACAAGAGTACTAACTACTCCCAATTATAAAAACAACAGCAGCTGCCACATATTTTAGGCAGAGCTGCAAGGATCAAAAACACCCTATCCTATGTTCCAACCCAGAAACTGCATTTTCTCATCCCCATAACAGAAAAATGTCTCTACAGAATCAGAATCTGCAAAATAATGACATGGCCTTGGTTCTATCTAGTGATGCAAAACCTAGACTCAAATGGACTCCAGAACTTCACCTGCGCTTCGTCGATGCCGTCAATCAGCTTGGAGGTGCAGATAGTTGAGTACAGAACCAATGCCAAGTACCCTTGTTTCCATTTCTGCAACATATTTTGGTTCATATTCTAATTCGATTGATAATTCTGTAATGCAGAGGCTACACCAAAATCATTGATGAGGGTGATGGGCATTCATGGATTGACACTGTACCATCTTAAGAGCCACTTGCAGGCATGTCATTCCTCAGATTACAAACTTTGATGCACATTTTTCTTTTTCTAGATGATAGTGAAAGTAATGAACTTTTCTTTTTCCTGCAGAAATACAGGCTGGGAAAAAGTCAACAATCACAACATTATAATGAGAGTAAGCCGGAAGGTAGGCTACGTACATAGAACAGAATGAGATATTGTAGGATGAATAATCCTTTAACAGGATTGATGAATGATTAATATGATGCAGAGGAAAGAGAGAATCAGAGGAGTCACTTTACTGCAGAAGTTTGCGAGGAAACTCAGAATCAGACCAATGAGTAATAACTGTTAGAAAATTTCCTTCTTCATTGGGTAGCGAGAATTGAAATACAATAGCTTGTTACTGATATAAAAGATGTCTGCCGTTATCAGGAGCTTGCAGATAGCCCAGGCTCTGCATATGCAAATGGAGGTGCAGAGGAAACTATACGAACAACTTGAGGTAAAATATGTGGTTATTATTGGAAGTTCATTTAAAAGCTGAAGTTGCCAATCGTTCTAACTTGTTGGTTTTTTTTTTTTTTTTTTTGTATGGATATTCAGGTGCAAAGACATCTGCAATTGCGAATTGAAGCTCAAGGAAAGTATCTACAATCAGTTCTGAAGAAAGCACAGGAAACACTTGCTGAGTATAATACTTCTGCTGCTGGAGTTGAACTTGCCAAGGCAGAACTTTCTCAACTGGTATCAATGGTTGACATTGGCTGTCCAACTTCTTCCTTATCTGCATTGACAGAAATTGAAGGCCCGATCTTAAAAGACACAGACAATAAGCAATTGACAAGTAATGGATGTTCAATGGAAAGTTCTCTTACATCATCTGAGAGCTCAGGGAGAAAGGAACAGACTCAACCAATGCATGAAATTGACGAAAAGGGCAAGTGTAATAGAAACAACATCGTCCTCTCATTGATGGAAATGCAGCCAGGACAAAACAGTAGATCAAACAATCAAGCCAGTGAAAGAAAAAGAACTGGAAGCAACACTTCTGTTGAAAAACCACTCCCGAAAAGATTTCAACCCCAAAGAAGTGATGAGCAAACAGGAAAGTTTGGATTCCTGGAAACCCTTGATTTGAATAGATAATATCTGAATACACTTCAATTGCCTTGGAGTATAGCAATCTAATGGGTATATTCAGTGACTCTAATTATTTGCAGATCAGTAAAAGTAACATATTCTATGAGCAGTTGGTTTAGTACGGTAGTTAGTATGTTTATAAACAAAGCCATGTAAATTGATCTTTTGTGAGCAACCTAGAAGAACTTGTGAAAGTATATCCATATACATTTCCTGTTATATATTCTGTCTTTGAATCTAGAACTGTTCGTCTGAATGCATAAAGGATAACGCTTTGGTGAGGAATTTCCTTTTATGAAAAAAAACAATCCTTGGTTCCAATTCAGATAGCTCCACAACCTGACCCTGAAAAGATATTCTTGCAGGGCACCAGTATCCTCCTCTATTAGATACGTAAGAAATATTCTTTCTCATCCATCCAGGAAGCATTCAGCGTAGAGGAAGAATCCCACCATTCATTCCAAGAATCCTCTTTTCTTGCTTTTCTTCTGGGGACAGAAGGCAGAACATATTCATGCCTACGCAAGTACTTAGAAGCTTTCTAGCAGCTGCTAAGAATTTCTAGCAGCAGAAGGCAGAATCCTACTTTCTAGCAGCAGCTAAGAAGCTTAAGATACAAATTTCCAGGAGAAAATCCTACTTTCTAGCAGCAGCTAAGAAGCTTAAGATACAAATTTCCAGGAGATATTGGAGATAATCTGTTCAGTATTGTGCTACATGACTAAAGGGTAGATACTATCTAATAAGAAAATAAAAATTGTGCAGTACTCAAAGCTAGCACGGTAGCATTTTCAGTCCAAGAAGCTAATGCACGAGCAGTCAAGAATTCGGTATTAACCCTAGCCAAGCATCGTCCCCTCGGGGACATCCGATAAAATTGGAACCCTGGGCAACCATCAAATCCATGATAATACTAGGTGATCACATCCATTTTCAGAGGATGTATGCTGAACTCCATACTTGAGCTTCGGTCTGTCACGGAAATAAAGGCTCGTGACCAAACAGCAAGAGATTAAAATGCCTAATTACCTTGACACATCGTTTTTTCCCCTATTTCTGCTGAGTTTTCTAATGCTTGCTGAATCAGACGACATGACATGAAATGGTGCTCCAGAATCACTGAAGTTGTGCTTTTCTAATGCCTGATGACCAAGTGGTTGCTGATCCATGGTCACAACTTTAGAAAACAAGTCTGACAAATCTAAATGCGGGTCTTGAAATCTGAATCATACTAATTGTGTTCAACTCCAGCGATTGACTATGTTCATAGCTGATTCTAGAAAACCGACTAGTTCATGAAATTAGTCATTACTTTGCCTCAATGATCTATGTCATTCAAGAACACATTTTGAAAACATTCAGAACAGAGGACGCATTACTATGGGGAAATATGTTTGCTACGGTCAAATGTAGCAGGAGCAGGAGACTAATGACAGTTGATCTTCATTATTCTGCAAACTTGTGCAAATAGTCAAATGAAAGGAACTTCCAGAATCCAACCTGAAATCAATGTTAATTTGACCTTGCAGAAATCAATGATGCAAATCGTATTCCAATTCTAAAATCAGTAAAAACAAATTACGAAAATAAAGCAATTTTCTTCACTTTTTCAAGTGGCATTCTCAGAAGTAATTCAGCACCGAGGGGAACAACATGATGCACAAAGTCCTCCTTCATCAATGATGGAAAAAGGGATGAGAAGACAGCTCAGAGCCTCAAGACAGGATATGAATTGTACTTTGGTTGTAACAACTCCCTTGGGCGGCCAATTGTGGTACTCTGTGGGAGCTCCATGTAAACGTCGCCTGAAAGCCTTTGTAGATTAAAGCTTGACGGCATAAATTCCTACCTCAAACAGCTCAGCAACTTCTATCGCATTTTCCAATCGCAATCCCTACAATCAGCCAATAAGTAAACCTCGAGGTTTTGCCCAATCCACCATATATCCCGAACCGTTTTAACATCACCTCCATCTTCAGCTTCTTTGCCTTGGACTCCTCCCTTGACTCGTTAATACCAACAGCAACAAATAATGAGGAGCTGACGAGAAGAAATTTCGGCCAATTCAAACTAGAATGTATCCGTATTTCTACTCCAATTCCAACTCATGACCATATGCTGAGCCACAATCAACAATGCAGTAAACTCAAAAAGACCTTAGCCTCCTTAACCAGATGACGAATTTGTCCGTCGATACTCTTCATTTCTGGGCTGATCATTCTCATGGTCTCCAAACTGCCTGAGAAAACTGTAGCCAAATCCTAAAATCAGCCGAAGTACGGAGTCCTTAGGAGTCCATGTCCAGTAGTCATGCAGTTCGATATAGCGCCAGTGCATTGATTGGTAACATCCCTTTCATGTTTTGCGTCTAATATTCGACTGGTTTCTCCTAAAGATTCCAATTTGTACATTTCACGCATCAACTTTGAAAACATAATCAGTAGCTGGTCCGCTGAGGATCCACTCATCTTCATTTTAGACCATCTGACACTCACCAACAATTTCACCCTTGTCAAGTTGTCATCATGTTAAGAGGGAAAAAATCAACCATAACAACTGCTTCCTTATGCCGTTAATGCGATTCATCAAAACAGAATCCATCACATTTTACAGTTTCATAAGAGGAAAAAAATGCTCATTCACGACAACATCAAAGTTCTTTACTTTATTTCCGAATTTTGATCGATGGGCAGCCACAGTGTTATATGCTGCGGAACAAAATGTGTTCTCAGAGTCGTGAAGGTGCCTACTGACTTTTATAAGTCAGTACAATGGGTATTCTCACTTCTGATGTCCACTAAACACAATACTTGGTGATCTTCATTGCGCTTCAATATATATATATATATATATATATATATATATATATATATCTCTATATATATATATATTTATAGAGAGAGAGAGAGAGAGAGAGAGAGAGAGAGAGAGAGAGAGAGAGAGAGAGGTGATCTCTATTGATCTATTACTTTGTCCAATTAGTATTTGATGTCCGCACTCCGCATTACAATGAGAAATAAATATTAAAGAATAACCCCAAAAAATGTAAAAATTAGTAAAAATAAAGTTCAAGTCTTGCCTCCATTTTCACAAAAGTAAACCAATTTTTACAATAACAGCTCAGCTGAATATACAACACCTTATTCCCACTTCACAATTAAGCCCCAAAGAGTAAAAGAAGAGTTTTTCGAGAGAAAAAAAAAGGTTTACTACATGTCTAAAAGAAAATGTAACTAATCCTAACTCTGGATCTTAATCAATTGTTTGGGACGAATCACCAGAATCATTTGATCCACCCTGATTGATCTCCTCACTTCTCCTGTCAAGATTACTATTGCTATAAGCAAAACTAACCCAAATTTCTCTCCTTGTCCCGCCTGCATCCCCATTTTTCAAACTCTTATCATCATTCTCCTCAACAGGCATCTTGTGTCTACAAACAGGGCAAGACCCATGTATTCTCAGCCACTTCTCGATACATTCTCCATGGAATCTATGCTTGCAAGGCATCTCTTTAGCCAACGCACCAGCTTCCCACTCTTCCAAGCATATCACGCACTCCTCACTGTCTTCCTTAACTTCCACCATGGGCATGGCTTCGATGGATGCTTTTGAGGCTGGTGGCTGCCCATCTTTACTAAACAAGTCCCTCAACAAAGATTCCAAGCTCGAAGAGCTAGAGCCACTTCCCCTGCTGCCTTCTATCACCACCATGCCCTGTGTTAAGGGATTAATCAGGATAATGCGATCCGTTGATTCTCTCATATTTGGAGGACTTTGTTGCGCCTCCTGATCTGGGGTAGAGGAATCTTGAACTGGGTTGGGAGTATTCGGGGAGTTTGTCATGGCTAAAATAAAGGGCAAAAACAGGGCAAGGTCTCTGTTTCTTGAATTTATCAAACGTTCGATCACTGATGATGATTCAGAAAACTCTTCTGTTTCCGAAGCCATTAGGAAATTGAGATTGTTTTCTATATAGGGAAAAGAGAGAAATTTGGGCAAAAAGTCGTTGATACAAAGGCAGTTGGATTGATGAAATTGGGGTACAAAGTTTGGTAGGAATATATGGGGTGCAAAATCAAAGAACGGTGGCAACAGCAAGGTTGTGGAAAAGATCTGGAAGAATGGACACATGGTCACACAGTGACGCTTACAGGAGCTGGATAATACAATGGGGTTGTCATTATCAACGTCTGAGATATTTTGTAGGGTTTGGATTTGGTGCTAATGAGTTCAATGAAGTTGTCGTGGGCCAGCAGCGTGTCACGGTTTTCAACTACCGTACGATGATTTCGCCTTCTACCTTCCTTGCTTGCTTCCTCGGATAGCACACCAATTATTGGCATGCTCAGAGGTTAGTTTTTCTCTGTGCTAACTGAAAAAGTTTGGCACAGTGGGATTAATCGGACAGCGGGCAGGATCGGTTGCAGGTGCAATCGTTGCATGTGATTTTGATTATTTTATAGAGTGCATAATTTTGATTGTACACGATATAACTTTATTTATATAACATGTAACTTTAATACAAAAATTTACGAGTCCCACACACATTATAAAATCGATATATAACTTGTGATCTGGACTGCATATATTTTTTTTTATCAAAATCTGGCCGTTAACTGTTCAGGAGCGATCATTCTGATGACCATCCCTACTCCTTGTCCAGGATTAGTTTGCCAATTCTGCCATTCAAAAATAAGTTAAATTTAAACCTCGGTTGATCCCTAAACTCTATGTAGATGTTGTTTATCTATTCATTTTTCCTGTTTACTCGAAGCCATGTTATAATTTTTTTTTCCAATTTTAGAAGGAGCTGTTTTGAGCTTAAAAGGTACCAATTAAGGTGCAGGACAAACTTTGAACAGTTAGTCCATGTGATATTCCAATGACTATGCATGTGGGATTCAGACGTTATGAGTCCGAGTTGACTGGATTATGTTTCCTGGGACTTTTGTTTAGAATATTTGTCGGATCTCGCTCTGGGGATTTTATTTTGATTATTACTTGATTAATCATGTGCCAGTAGCTTAGGGTCTTTGACCTGCCCAGCTTGACAATGGACAATATCGAGCATAAGCCTCTGTGATGCTAAACATGGCCTTTACAAAACTACTGGACCAGACCCGGTTCATCCAAGCTTTTGCCCTCTACAAGCTGCTGGACTCTTTTGGCCCTTTACACAGAGATGGGCCGCCATATACATACAGGACTTCGTTTCTTGTTGAGTAACAAATGATCGGCCTAAAAGAATCTATTTCTTTACAAAGAAGGTTTCTGATCTTTTTTTAGCTGCAATTGTACCAATACGCCAACCCAAGAAAATATAAGAATAAACCTGAAATGAAATACTAATAAATGTTCCTGTGCTTTACCCGCTGCAATTGTCCGTTGCTCCAAGTTTTCTCCATGCAACCACCACATTTGTTCCTTTTTTTTTTGGTGGTTGTAGCAAATTCATGAGTCAGGACGTAGATCATCCAGTTTTCTACGTCAAATTGATTGAATAAAAAAAAAAAAAAAAGAGTGTAATTCTATATCAAGTTGAACTCTAGATAAAGTCAAACACCTCACCTTCCCACACAACAATATCAAGTAAGCTGAACTGCTGAACTCTAGATAGCTCGGGCTGAGGTCATGTATAAATGTCGTATGCTGTGGCAGGAGAGATACATTATTATTGCTAATCACCAATCTGAAGTTCCTTTCACAATTGTGAATTCTATTGGATCTTGTGAGCATCGTACTGATGAGTATCATTTCACATGTAAAAAGATATATTAGCTTTTAGATAATTTTAGGAATTTAAATTATTGAATAATGTGGTAAGGGATGTTAGAATTTCCCAAACAGATATAAAGACGAGAAAAGGTGAAAAAATAAAATAAAACACCAAGTGTAAACTTGGGTTGAGCCCACCAAAAAGGCCAAAGCCTGGATTTTTTATTTTTCTTTTTGGACTGGAGTGACAGCAACTTCAAAACCAAAAAAGAAAAAAAAGTATAAATTTGTAAGTTTTTTTTTTCTTATACGCCTCAAAGTTCGCCGTCTCCTCTGTGAGTTTTGCCCTTTCTTCCTCAAGCTCATTCTCCATATTCTTGTACACTAGCTCCATTTCAGCTTCCTAGGAAAGACGATTTTCTAATTTTTCCCTTACCCTTTTCCGCTCAATACCTCTCGCCACAATACTCTCGTAAGGTGTAATATTCCTTTTTCTTCGACTTATACTCCAAAATCCTTTTTAGGTCGCCAAAATCATATTACGAGAGTATTGTGGCGAGAGGTATTGAGCAAAAAAGGGTGAGGGAAAAAATAGAAAATCTTCTTTATTTGATTGATCCTTCGATATAAACTGCATCTTCGGTATTATTTTGTGCTAATGATCGAGTTTGAAAATTCAATAATTGAGACTCATTTCCCGGTCTATACAATAGTCAGCATAAGGGCCAGTCTCGGCCAGTGAGTGCCACCGGGCTTGATTTTCTTGAATTTGACTGGACTTCCCCTGGTGGGTTTTGTTCTCTATAGTCAAGAGGGGTGTCTTCCAGTGGTCTTCTACAAGTAATTACAAGTAATTAGAAGTGCACGCAAATAAGATAAAGTTGTATTTAGTAAGTGAAAAATTGCATTAAGTGCATTAGAACCACATACTAAAATTACTGCTGCATTTCCAAATTACAAAGTTATAACTGCATTCATGGAAAGAGATGTAGCTGCTTGAGAAGCAGCATTAGGCTGAACTAGATGAGATTTTAAAATAGAAATGAACTGAGCATGTGCATTTGTACAAGTTCTCTTTATACTTGCTCTAGTAGAAGTTTGAAAATTGCTTACTGGCCTTTCTCTCTTCAGTTGTATAAAATTATACTTAGATTGATTGGTTTGAGGAACATAATATGGAAACATGTATGTTGTCATTACAAAAGTTAAACATAAGTCAGCGGAACTTAGAGCCTTATACGGCCTTGCCTCTCTTGTATTTTTTTTTTTTCCAATTCCACCTATAGAGACGGCATAATACAGCCCCTATCATCTTAAGAGATGCCAACCAGAAATTGGAGCCATCCATTAGCTTCGCTTGCATTGGCTAATGATATTAAAACTCACATGTAATCTAGTTTAATTAGTTACTCAATTTGTGGATAAAAAATATTTTTTTTCTAAAATTCGGTTATTAAGTTTCTACAATTAATTAAGGCATAAAAGTAAATTCTTACAATTTATTATTAGAAATATGTCCAATTACCGCCGGGGGGAGGTGTGCTATTTTAGAAACGACATGAATGGTAAGTGCTAGCTAAGGTTTCTGCAATTATCCTAGTATCTTATTTAATAGTACTTAATACTTATTCTTTTCTAGGGACAGCTGGAATCCAGTGAAACCGAAATCCTTTTTTTTTTTTCTGGATTGGGGTATATTGGACGGAGCCCTAATTCTCAGACAGAAGATCTTTTGCTACTTCATCCTCTCTCTCCACGGCGTGCTCTTGAATTCTCTTAGCATTAGATCTCTGTGGTCTCTCTCTCAAGGGTAATTCTCCTCCGTCCATCCAACCGAACTGCCATCATGATTCTTCTTCCTTCCTTTGATTATTCTTGGCCCTAATTCCCAAATGTCACCCTGCTTCTTTTATTATTATTGACGGTATTGATCTTTTCTGCAGCCGATCGATGCATCCCTACAGGGAATTGGCGGGGTTTACTGTGAATTATCTCATAGGTGTCGCCTGTGGCTTTGGCGCTGTTTTAGCTGGGTCTGCTATACGTCGGTAATCAGGATATTTGTTGCTTCCCCCAACCCCAACCCCCCCCCCTCCCCCAACCTCACCGTCTTCTTCTTCTTCAGGGCAAAATTCAATTATGCCTTTTTTAAAAAAAAAAAATTTCTCCGATTTTTTGTTTTTGTTTTTTGAGTGAATCTGTCTCTAACTCAGGGCTAATCATCTTTCCTTTTTCGTTTTATTGGCTTCTTCTTCTTCTTCTTCTTTTTCAGCGGTTGGGCCAGGAGGAATATGAGCTCGTAAGAAGCTTTTGGGTTTGGTTATAGTTGATCTGTTCTAGTCGTTTTTCTGGTCTAATCTTATTTGTGATTCTGTTTTCTGAGCTGTTGTCTTCTCAGGCACCGCACCGGCCGCAGCGAAGGACGAGACACTTCTGGCTGACTGGCGTCTCCATGAAATGGGTCTCGCTTTTACGTGCTTTGAATGTTAAGGCTATGATTAGCCATTAGATATTAGATGCTACTTATTTCAACCCTATGTTTCTTGGTATGTTAAAGACTCGTTATGGATTACATTATGTAATGTCTAATTATGGAATCTGATCCTTTCTAATTAATTTATCAAATAGTCACGTAATTATATGTGATTGATCCTCCGATATGAACTGCATCTTCAGTATTATTTTGTGCTAATGATCGAGTTTGAAAATTCAATAATTGAAAGCGAAGAAGCTCAAATCTTACTGTAGACTTAAGTTGTGGTGACTCTTTGTTAGTTGAAATCAGTTTATACATTGCTCCTCCTTGGCTAATTCTGCACATTTTTTGACAAATTTTTCACAATTACCAAAACGTTAACAAATTGTACAAATGTGTCATGGATTTATTTTTAATGGTAACAGTGAGCTGTTTCCCCGTTGGCTCGGCTCAGTTAAGACCCGAAGCCGAGAAGTCCCCAATCCCCATGTGAATCATTTGGGGACAAGTTATTATTACAGAATTTTTTTATTTTTGCATTTTTCGGAATTTGGATTTCGGTTAATCACCACAAAGAGACTTTGAATGTAATTTATATTCTATAATGTGTTCCCTAATTCATGGTATTTAATAAACATTTGGGAAGACCATTTTAACTCCTGTATTAATTATTATTTCGACCTAAAACCAAGTTCTTGACATAGATGATTTGCAATCATAGTTTACTTAGTATTGTATAATTTATTTTCTAGCACAGTTTACATTGCTGTTAAACAATCCTGGGCACAAAGCAATATTGGGCATGCACGGTGATCACCTCCTAGTTGTACAATATATGCATTATGCCTCCTAAAATGATTCAGATATTTAAAAGACACGACCGTCTGTTCTTGTGCATTCGTTAAAACATCTAGGAATTCATAGTTGGCTTATTATGCAAATACACACTCACATGCATTCTTTAAAGGGTTTAGCTAACAAGTTAATTGGGGCCTCTAGTGTTATTTTTTTTTTTGATAAAGTTGAAATTAATTTGAGAAAAACTTTTAAATGTTGGGACGCACTAACTGTGAATGCATGCATTTATATGAAAAATTAAGTGTAATATAAGTGTATCAAGGAGTACGTCAGGCATATGTTACAGAAATCCCTTGTTAAATAGTTATTTCCCTTATAAGACGCACATGCACATTAATTTGTGCATAATCGAAACGCATAAGCATTAATTTGTATATAATCGGAATTACCATTTCAGTCGGTTTTTAAAGGTATCTTCATTTTTCGGGAGAGTTGTGAGCGTGAGGGGAGAAGAAGGAAATTAGGAAGTACTTAAACCTTTGAATCTCATTATCGTACAACTTTGACATAAGAGTTTCATGTTAAATCACCTATCGTGGTAGAACCATTTCGATCTCTTAAGTATGAGGAATTCTGGAGTATTTATGTGAGGAAACTAAGAAGAGTTATAGCACCCACTCAACACATCCTCTGAGCACAAAATTCGCAGGCAACAGACAATCAAAGGTGGACAAAATTACCATGGAGAGGTAATTCTATATTTCTACAGAAGGGGGAAAAAAACAAAGAAGTAAAAGGTGAGTCTTATACCCAAACAACAAAAAAAAAAGAAAAAGAAGAAGAAGATGATGAGGAATAAAAGACGAAAAGACTTCAGAGGTAAGTCTACAATTGCAATGGCAACCAAGCTGCAGAACGTCATAAAAGCCTGTTAAATGAGTCTTTTGCTGGTCTTGTGCTGTAGCTGGAAAACAATTTACGTGAACCAGACACACCACATGAAAAAGCCACTTTTTTGCAGCAAATATTAAATTTTCTCATACTTTAGCCCGCAGCACATCCACCCATGGGCTCACTTTTGCTTGTTTCCAACTACAGCTATTGGCCATTGTACCTTTTCATGAGTTTCTTTCTTTGGTTGGTTGTCAAATAATTATAAGTAGTTCGAGTCATTTGTAAGTAGCACCTAGCCTGCTTGATTAAGTTTGATTAGGGTCGACTTACGAAGTGAAGTGTATAGTTAGACTAACCTACTCCTCATTAGTCATTCCCATCCTTATTCACCCGTTTGGTTAGAACACATTTGTTTAATCAGGATTACTGCCTCTGCATTTATATTGTTTAAATGCAACCAAATTATATGGTTTGACTGAAATTTCAGGTGAGTTTGGCGGTTCATAGATTTTGACTCACATTCATAAGAGACAATAATATTAATGTTTTGGGACAATTACAACTACTAACTTTAATTTTTCTGCTGTATCAAATCACCATTTAATTAGTTCTGAAACATCACCGGAAGAAATTGATGGCACATAACTTTCAATTCTGTTACAAGCCAAAAAAAAAAAAAAAAAGTATGAAATACTCTTTGTAACGACCGTTCAATTATGAATTTCAGGAATGATTCATAAACTAATATTAACATAATTTGGAATCACTAACACTTTGTCTGAATATATAGAGAGAAAGTTGTGTAGAAAAAACGAAGTGATGGAAAAACGAGATAGAGTGAGGTGAAGATACTATAGTGAATGCCTCTTTTTTGCCCTAAAGTGATTTCTTTTTTCCCTCATTAGCCAAACCTCTTGCCATTCATGGTTTGGCACAAGTAGACAAGTGATTTTCATTAAATTTTGATGATTTAGCCAAGCCTTCAGTAGTTTTTGGGTAGAGAGAGGGAGAGAGTTACGGTAGTCCCTTAGTCAAATTATAAATTTGGTGAATTAGATAAAGATTATTACAGGTCCATTTAATTTTCCCTTTTCCTTCAAAGCAAATGTCATTTTAATCCTCATCCAAAGGCACCTTATACCCATGCTCTTCGACCCCGGCCATATTCACTCTCATGGTCTAAACTTTTAGCATCAACTTTTGTTTTTCCAGCAATTGTTGATTTTGAGATCTTTTATGGTTTCCGAGGTCAGTCACTGGTGGGGAAAATCTGCTGGGTTTATCTACCAAGTCGGAAGAGTGTTGCAGAAATGCTGAATTTCTTTCTATTTACTTTACCAAATATTACCTTATTTGTGGAAACACATTACACATCTGCAAATATAGCACCAAAAAAAAAAAAAAGAAACTAATAATAGTAGTTTACGGTTTCCCGTGGCCTTTTTCTTTTTCTAATTTTTTGAGGTAGATAGACACGCTTTTGATACACATAACAATTTTGAGCACGAATTCGGTTAGTCCAATTTAATTAAAATTGGGTTTCGGTATACAATTAACTTTTGAAAGCAATTAATTAGTTTGAAAGTGATTTTGACTTCTCAATCTCAATCTCAACTGAAAACTTACTACGATTTCATGTTTCCTATTATATATATATATATATTATAAGACATCTATATTGTTAATTACTTAATTGTGCCTTTAGATATTACATATTATACACGTATGGCCTATGTTATTGTGAATGCTAAATAGTCTTAATTACCTTTTACGCTCTAAATACAAGTAACTAGTGAATATATAATACTAAATCCATTATAACAAGTTAACCGCACATAAACATACATAGTTAAACACTATGATATTAACTTCAATTACTATCCTTCTTTAATAAAAAAAAAAAAAAAAAGTTTTTGGACTCCAAATTCAAAATCATTGTTTTTAACAAAATTTTAAAATTGATGAAATTGATTAACTAATTTCGAAACTGAATTCTGGTCTCAATTCAATTTTACTTTGATTCAGTGAATTCGATTTCAATAGCAACTGTTAAAGGACTATAAACCGATTTTAACTGATTTTAATTAACTAAATTATCGATTGATTCTCACCCCTGCGTATCAAATTTTTAATTTTTACGTTAGTTGAAATGACATTAATAATCCATCCTGTATAAATATGTTTAATTCTTAATTCTCCTCCGCACAATGACTGCAATGGTGAAATTTTTTTGCAAACAACTATTGTGCATCTTAATATTCAGAAACAAAAAGTGCACAAATGGCAAAAGAATTTTGTATTCACACTCATATTGGTCATCTTTGCGGTAAAAGTAACCCAAATTTGAGCATCATAGTAATTTAGCGGTGCATTATGAAACAATAAGCATTACAGAGTACAAACAGCTGTAGTCGTAAAAACAATCGGTGCAACTTCTGGAAGAGACTGGGATTTTTATAGAAACTGAATCATCACTGGCATTAGATTCTAGTCATGGATATAGCGAAAAAGAGTAATTACCGCATATAAGAGCAATGGCAGGGGTATATAGATAATCAAACAGCACAATTGCTGCAATTTTTGTTCAAGATGTATTTATCTACAGAATAAATAAATAGAGTGCTCAAGTAGTGCATGGGGTAAAGTCAAAAAGTCCAAAGTCTTGGAGAACCTAAAGATAAAATGACAATTCAGATTGCTCCTGATTGATCCAATTAATTTGGGATTCTGAAATGACTGCTTAATTCTTCTGTTTGCGTATCTCTGTACTAAAACAAAGGAAATTAAGAAAATTAGTAGATTAATGTAGTATTTACTAATAGTAATAAGATTCGTAAATGTTCTACGAAGCAGGATTGTTGGATTCGTGTCTTGCTATAGAAATAAACAATCTGCAATTTGAACGTTGATAAGTATTTTTAGAATATTTATTATCAGCTTTTAAAGGTAAGATTCAATTCATAATTTGTTTACTTTGAACGCTTTGAAAAAAAAAAAAAAAAAAAGGTAAATGAACATTCTTTTTTCTTCTTTTTTTGTTTTGTTTTTGTGTTTCTGTAAGCAATCCTAAAATCATAATGGAGTTCGAGTAGGAAATAAGTCTCACATCTTATATTTCTACCCCCCATTCCAACTCCCCAAATAGCATAAAAGTTTCTTCCTCTCCTCTGGAATCGAAATTTCTCTTGATAATGATTATCTTCCGTTGTTTTCTAGTAGCTGCATAATGCAATTTTTTCATTTTCATTTGACCTTGCATTAGCAATGGAAAGTTCTCTTCTTTTTTTTTTTTTTTTTTTTGGTTGTTTTAGCAATAGAAAGCAAGTATCTAGTTAACTTTAACCCGAACACAAAAAACAAAATCCAAAGAATTTTCACTTCACTAATGGGCAATGTTTTGAAAACCGGACCGGACCGGCCGGTTCGACCGGTTGAACCGCGAACCGGCCATGGCACCGGTCCGGTTCAATGACATTGTTGACTTTGCTATAAAACCGGTCAAAGACCGGTTGAACCGTGAAAACCGCCGAACCGGATCGAACCGGCGGTTTTCCGGTTTTTAGCTTTCCCTTTTTTTTTTTTTTTTTTTTTTTTAAGTTTTGCAAAATGCAACAATCAAGATTCGAACCCGAGACCTTTGTAATAAAAGACCAATGTATTAACCGTTGCACCATCACATCTTATTAGTTTTTTTTGATAACTTATTTATATAAATCAAATACTCATATTTCTCTTTTCCATTTTTCTTACAAAATCTCATCCCCTCATGGCTCTTTCTTTTTAATTTTCAACTCTCTCTCTCTCTCTCTCTCTATCATATTTTCTTTTGTCACTCCCTTTTTAATCAAACCTCTTTATTTTTAATTTATTAATGTTTTCTTCCATCTTTTAATTTTGTTTTTGTCCATTAAATTGAAAAAAGTTAAAAAAGAATTTTTTTTAACCCAAATTATTTAATGCCACAACCACTCACTTTTATCTTATTTTTTGTTTCTTATCAAGTTTACATTTCTATTTTCGATTTTCTTGATTTCCTTCGAACTCCAAATTTTCTTTTTTAAATTGCAATCTCTAAATCCCAAAACGTAAATTAAAATTAAAATTCATAATATCTAAATTCTCAGAGACATGAATTTTGTATAATTTCAAAATATTGTGATATTTTGGGGTTGAATTTAGATATAATTGAAATTGAGATGAAATTTATTTGTTTTAACTTATAATTTAAAAAAATTATTTTTAAAAATCCAAGTTATTAAAAAATAGTAAACTTTTCATCATATAAAATATTAAATTAGTCCATTACATGTCTTATTTTGTACATATATATTTATATAAATTATTTTTAAAAAAATTCATTGAACCGAGGTTGAACCGGTCCGACCGGTTGAATCTCGACCCTTTCACTTCACCGGTTCAATTAACGGTCCGGTTTTTAAAACATTGCTAATGGGATGAATTCCAAATTCCCCTTTTGCTCTCCTACTTAATTAATGCCTTGTGAAGATTGGGTTCCAGCTGTATGTATGCCAGATGCGGGTACAGTTCGTGGTTCACCGGAGTGGTGATGCATAATGGCACTTCTCTGAAGATGCCATATCTAGGACTGGGGCTAGGACTTGCTAGCTAAAGGCTAAAGCCTATGCAAATGAGAACAATTAAATGGCATTAATATTCTTCAAAATACTACGGTCTGAATTATAAGAGGTTTTTGAAATAGAATTGAGCTAAGCATCTGCATTTGTGCAAGTTTTCTTTATATTTGCTCTAGTAGAAGTTTTAAAATTGTTTGCTGGCTTTTCTCTATATAATTGTATAAAATTAAATATAAATTAATTGATTTGAGAAACATAATATGAAAACATGTATGTTGTCATTCCAAAGTTGAGCACCAGTCAGCGAAACTTAGAACCGTTGAAATACAGTCTTGCCTCACTTGTATATATATATATATATATATATATTTTTTCAATTCCACCTAGAGAGATGGCCTAATACAGCCCCTATCATCTTAAGAGGTGTCAACCGTTGAAATTGGAGCCATTATAATGGCTAATGTTAAAACTCATATGTAATCTAGTTTAATTAATTACTCAATTTGTTGATAAAAAATATTTTTTCTTTTCTAAAATTCGGTTATTAAGTTTCTACAATTAATTAATGCATAAAAGTAAATTCTTACAATTTATTATTAGAAATATGTCCAATTACCTCCCTGGGCAAGGGGGGGGGGTGGGTGCTACTTAGAAACGACATGAATGGTAAGTGCTAGCTAAGGTTTCAGCAATTATCCTAGTATCTAATTTAATAGTACTTAATACTTATTCAGGGACAGCTGGAATCCAGTGAAACCCGAGATCCCTTTTTCTTTTTTTTTTTTTTCCTGGATTGGGGTATATTGGACGGAGCCCTAATTCCTAGACAGAAGATCTTTTGCTACTTCATCCTCTCTCTCCACGGAGTGCTCTTGAATTCTCTTAGCATTAGATCTCTGTGGTCTCTCTCTCAAGGGTAATTCTCCTCCGTCCATCCAACCGAACTGCCATCATGATTCTTCTTCCTTCCTTTGATTATTCTTGGCCCTAATTCCCAAACATCACCCTGCTTCTTCTATTATTACTGACGGTGTTACTATTCATCTATTTCTGCAATGTCATTTAGAAAAATTTTGTCCCCCAATCACCATTTGCACACAACAGCTCGGCTTCCCCCTCTCTACTCTTCTAATTCAGTTTCGGATCTGTCAAAATATGCATTTGGTGGAGGTGTTTTTGGTCTGGCAGTTTCGATTGTTTCATATTCTGTTGGTCCGGATAAAAATCAAGTGACAGAAACAACGAGAATAGCTGCATGTGATATAGAAGATGACACTGGCAAAAGTTTTAACAGCTTTGAAGAATGTCTTGATCATATTTGCAGAGAGAAGGACAAGGAGATGAAGCAATTGAAAGAAGACGAGGAATGGCTATATAGATTGAAACAGAAAATTGCGATGAAGAGGATGAAAATGGACAATGAAAGAGCTAAAAAAACGAAGGAGAAGGCAAAAGTTTTGGCTGCTAGACGGGAGATAGAAGCAATGAGGAGCAAGCTTGAAGAAAGGCTTAAGAAGGAGGGGTGAAGGTATACTTCGGTAACCAGCATTCTTGTTGCTTCCCCTTCTTCTTCGGGGCCTTTTTTAGTTGATCTGTTCTCCTCATTTTTTTGGGGTCTAATTTATTGTAACTATATTAAATCTTTGAGCTGTGTTGCCTTCCCAGGTACCAAAGCGCAGTCAGAAAAAGCCGCGAGGAAAATACTCGCTGACCGTCGTCTCCACCAAAATGGCTCACACTTTTGCGTCCTATTAGCCATTAGATGTTAGAAATCTCCATGTTTTTTTTCCGGGTTGTCGTTCTGCTGTCGTATTTAATATTAAGCAGCTAGTACCTATGTAGAGTTGCTTAACTATCGTTAATCCATTCCTCGTCACCGCGAAGTTCCGAGGAGAATGGTTTTGCTTTATTAGTCTCGGATTGTGGTTGTTTTTGTATCTCGTCTTATAAGTAAAAGCTGTTCTTCGTACAATTTTCATATTTATGTTGCGTTATGATTGAATGGCAGAACTAGGAAATGGTTTGTCTCTTTGTTGCAATTTTGTATCAGGTACTCCGGATACGTTAGCACTCCCGTAGGGTTTAATACGGGCATTATTTTTGTGAAATTGTAACTGATTGAATACTTAATTTCTCCATGATTGACAACAAATGAAATGTCTTACAATGGAAATAGTCCATTTTTCATAATCAATAATCTCAATACATGTAGAATGACAAGATTTGGTATAAAATTGACTGCTTTTCACTCCTGTTGAGCATTCTCTAAGATGTAAAGACTGCGTTATGCTTCGAAAGATTTAATGGCAGCGTCAGAAGACAGTGGTGCTTTTGTTCCGTTGCTGTGTTAATTTACTTATTTTAACTGTTTTCCTGTGATCTTCTATTTGCTCGTGTTTATTGTTTAGAGATACAAGATGGCTTCAATGTTATAATCCTGCTGGAGAAGAATAATACAGGGACTGGCTTTGGGGATGAAATGACAATCACGAAATTTTATTCTAGTTACCTAATGAAACCATCTTAGAAAACCCAAAATTAGAAAATATTCACCCCTTAACGGACTTTATTATACTAATTGAGAATAGTTATTGCTTAAGATTGGATCACTTTTTATCATTTTGAAAATTCAGATCAACTCACCAAAGGTTTAGCAACACTACTCTACTCACCAAAGGTTTAGAGGCTCCTCCTCTGCTAATTCTGCATCTCGACAGTTTTCCACATTAGCAACACTACTCTTAAACAATAAATATTCCATTAGACAAGCCTGAAATTTTTATTCCATCAAATGATAAACTTCTTTTGCTCTAGTTCTTTGTACAATACCTGCGTCATGCCTCCTAATATGATTCAGATATTTAAAAACACGGTTGTTTGTTCTTGTGCATTAATTCGTTAAAACATCTAATTTATAGTTGACTTATTATGCAAATACACACTCACATGCATTCTTTAATGGGTTTGGCTAACAAGATAACTGGGGCCTCTAGTGTTATTTTATTTTTAATTTTTTTGATAAAGGTGAAATTAATTTGAGGAAAACTTTTAAATGTTGGGATGCACTAACTATGAATGCATGCATTTACATGAAAAATTTAAGTGTATCAAGGAGTACTTCAGGCACATGTTACAAAAATCCCTTGTTAAATAGCTATTTCCCTTATAAGACCCACATACACATTAATTTGTACATAATCGGAATTACCATTTCAGTCGGTTTTTAAAGATATCTTCGTTATTCGGGAGAGCTGTGTGTGTGTGTGGGGAAGAAGAGGGAAATTAGGAAGTACTTAAACCTTTGAATCTCATTATCGTACAACTTTGACGTACGAGTTTCATGTTAAATCACCTACCGTGGTGGTAGAACAATTTCAATCTCTTATGAACAGGGAATTCTGGAGTATTTATGTGAGGAAACTAAGAAGAGTTATAGCACCCACACAACACATCCTCTGAGTGCAAAATTCTCAAGCAACAGACAACCAAAGGAGGAAAAAATTACCATGGAGAGGTAAGTCTAGATTTCTACAGGAGGGGGAAAAAAATAAAGTAAAACGTAAGTCTTATACCCAAACAAAAAAAAATGAAAAAAAAAAAAAGAAAAAGAGGAAGAAGAAAAGACAAAAAGACTTCAGAGGTAAGTCTGGTTGTCTCTGGCAACCGCTCACCCCTCGTCCAGTCTACAATTGCAATGGCAACAAAGTTGCAGAACTTCAGAAAAGCCTGTCAAATCAGTCTTTTGCTGGTCATCTGCTGTAGCCGGAAAACAATTTATGTAAACCACATGAAAAAGCCACTTTTTGCAGCAAATATTAATTGTCTCTGACTTGAGCCCGCCTCGCATCTGTCCATGGCTCACTTTTGCTTGTGTCCAATTACACCTATTAGCCATTGTATCTTTTCATGAATATTTTTTTTTGGATGGTTGTCGAATAATTATAGTTAATACTACTAAGACTAATTAAGGTTGGTTAGAGTCATTTGTAAGTAATACATAGGCTACTGGTTAAGTTTGATTAGGGTCGACTTATGTAGTGCACAATATACAATTATCATTAGTGAATGCCTCTCTTTTGCCCTAAAGTGATTTCTTTTTTCCTCATCATGCACGAATATATTAATTTGGGAAGGGACATGTTTTTAGGATCTTTTTCTTCGAAGAACAAAAACCAAAAAACGTCGGAACCAAATAAATGGATATATATATATATTTATTTATATCCATTTAATAAATGGGTATGGATATATATCCAATTACCCATTTATACACTTAAATTTCTATTTATTATTTATATTTTTTTGCATGTTGTTTGACACGAAATGATGGTATTTTACTGTTATTAAATTGATAAAAAATCGGAAATTTATTTGCTTAAGATTCACTAAAAAGTAAGTTTAAATATATAATTATTTTCAAATAAATATAAATGGATGAATCAAGTCAACTCGTTACTTACCAATGAAATGGGTTCAATTGGGCACCAATTTAGACCTATTTAAAATTAATGGGTGAATTTGGACAGATTATTGGTAAGCTAGTTTGGGTGGGTCAACGTGATTGAATTGTGATTAACACCTCCAATCACAACTTGAGGAGGGTATTACATCCGAAATTCATGTTTTTCACTTTAAATGTTTAAAAATTTTCAAAATCTCCTTTAGAAATCACAATTTGGATTGATTTTTTTGAGTGTTTTTAAGAATATTTATAGAAAAAATAATAATGTATCACTTTTTAAAAATGTTGAGTAAAAATGTGATTCATAATTATTTTAAGAGAATATTCTTCAAAAATGCAGAAAAGAAAAAGAAAAAACAGAAATGCAATCGAATGCACCCCACAAAAATTTTATATTGCCTGTGTATGATACTCGTCCTCTCGAAATAAATATTCTGGTTCTGCTTCTATCTTGTACTACGTCCCCATGAATCGGACCAAAGTAATACAATATGACAAAAAAGAGCCTAGAAAAGTGAAAAGATGTAGAAAAAGAAAATGAAACACGTGTCATTTCACAGGTCCACAACATGCAAGTTTTTTTTCACCATTTCACCATTATCAAATTCTTCTTCTTTTCTATTTTTTGCCTTGCACAATAATTTTATATTTATAAAATTATAGTTTACATTAAAAATTACTTTCATACTTAACTACCCACTATCATATTTATTTTTACCTTTATTCTTATAACAACTCACTGCCAAATAATAATTTATTTGTATATTTTATTTAGGTAAATATCAATTTTCTATATATTTTATAAAAAATATAAAACCAAATCTTAGGCATAATAATTTCAAACAAAAAAAAAAAGAATTCTCACAAAACAACATTTTGTTCCTACTTTTTTTTTTGGACAATAATTAGAACAATTAGCCGCTGGATATGGGACACGGACACTTGTGACAACTACTCAGAGTAGAACAGTGTGTAGATGTGTCAATGGGTCGGACTCGGATTGAAATTGAAATTTTTTGGACTTAAACCCATTTTTATGCAGTAGACTTGGACCGAATTCGTATACCCGATCGGTCTTGATCTTAAGAGTTTCTGAATTGGGTCCAATGGATCCGGGTCGGGTTCAAGTCTAAAAGGTTCAAATTTAATATTTTAAAATTAAATTCAAAACCGATCACAAATCCAATCTCCAAACTTAAACAAATCAAATTACAAAACCAAATCACAGGTAACTTACAATAGTCAATCCAAAACTAACCACAAATCAATCTACAAAATCATTACTAAATTGTTAATTTGGTAAAAGAATGTATTTAGAAATATTTATATTTTATAATTATTAATATATTATTCGGATTCGGGGTGAATATGGGTCGAATCCTATATTTCGTATCCAATCTGTTTTTGTTAGAGTAAACGGGTTTAGATCTGGGTCCGAGTATCGAAATTATTTTTCAACCTGTCGAATCCAGATCGGATTCGAATCCAAATCCGACTCATTGACACTTCTAAGTTCTAACATAGTGACACTTCTTTTGAATAAATTGTGACAGCTTCTTAATTGTGCGTTGTAATAAGTTTTTATAAGTAATTCACGTCAAATTTACAAGAAATTCAAAACTTTTATTTACAAGTGATTCAGATAGAATATCACATCGTCGTTCCGGACAACTGTCCCGTGTCCTGGGTTCTTATCTACCATTCATTCGTGGGACAGCTGTCCATAAAGAAATCAATTAAATAATACTAATAATAATTATATAAAATGTGCACATATTTGTGTAGGGCATGCAGAGAAATCGTCGTTCCGCCTTAGTGAGTTGGAGCCCTAATTCCGTTCCCAGATACTCCGTCCAGGTTATTGTTACTTTTGAGTTCTAACGCCAGGGTATCCTCTTCTCTGATTCCTCTCCATCCGACCACCCTCAATACCTCGTGTTCCTTCTTCCTTTTCTTTTTCTTGCTTCCTTTGGTCATTCTTGGCCCTAATTCCCAATTATCGACCCTTTTTTTGTCCTGTCAATTATTAATTGACGGTGTTACTGTTGATCTTTTCTGCTGCAGATCCATGAGTACCTTCCATAAGTTGGTAGCTGTGGGTGTTGGTGCTGCGTTAAGTGTTGTCACTGTAATAACAGCTGCGTCTCTAAGACGGTAACCAGGATTTCTTGTTCTTTTGTAATGTTTGACTGCTTCCCTCCGTCCCCCCCCCCCCCCCCAAAATAAAATAAATAAACAAACCAAAATTTTATCTGCGTCTAGTTCAAGGCTAATCATCTAATTTTTTTCCCTTTTTTTATTTTCTGGCTTCTTTTCCTCTAGCCATCTGGACAGGATGGATGATGAGGTGATTTGGGAAAAGTAAGACGCTTTTGGCTTTGGTTTTTTAGTTGATCTGTTCTCCTCATTTTTTTGGGGTCTAATTTATTGTAACTATATTAAATCTTTGAGCTGTGTTGTCTTCCCAGGTACCAAAGCGCAGTCAGAAAAAGCCGCGAGGAAAATACTCGCTGACCGTCGTCTCCACCAAAATGGCTCACACTTTTGCGTCCTTTTAGCCATTAGATGTTAGAAATCTCCATGTTTTTTTATGGGCTGTCGTTCTGCTGTCGTTCTGCTGTCGTATTTAATGTTAAGCAGCTAGTACCTATGTAGTCACCACGAAGTTCCGAGGAGAATGGTTTTGCTTTATTAGTCTCGGATTGTGGTTGTTTTTGTATCTCGTCTTATAAGTAAAGCTGTTCTTCGTACAATTTTCCTAAAGGCATGGACCAAAGGTTTAGCTTGGAATTTGGACGATTTGGAATTGCAAATCACAACTCATTAGGTATAAATAAATGAATTATTATGATGGCTTTGAGTAAAATACCACATATTTTCTGTCCATCTACGCAATGGCATAAGCCGCATCTTCTCATCGTTCCCTCTCAACATATGATACAAAACCTAACCGTAGCATTGCAATCTATCCTACGAATTAAGCTCTAACCAATATACGTATATAAGTTGACTATCTATCTACAAACACTACTAATTGTACTTGCAATTCCTTGTCATTGTCCAACTTTTCTCCAGCTCCACTCCAATATGGGAGCATCCACATCGAATCTTCTCTGTCTGTCAAATGGATCTCCATCAGCCAAGCGTTTCATTCTAGGTTACTCGAGTAAATGTACTAATCGCCACAGCAGTTAGCACGTTTTGCCTCCTGCAGTTTCTGCCAAAGGCAGAGCATTTCTCGAGGACCTTGATAGTGGGCAATTACATAGCCATCTCTGCATCCCACATTGAAGATCCTCTCATCTGTCTCATATTTTACTTCCAAACCTTGCTTCTTCATATCTGAAATCCAAATTCCCATAGCCACATCCTCTAGCTTGAACATCTGCAGCAGTAAACCACAAGATTTTTAGCATTTCAATGACTTTACAAGAATTAATCAAGGTGATGGAAGCAATCTTATTTACTTGCAAAACTACTAAATTAAATATTTCTGAATGACTACTGGTGTAGAGACCGATGTAAAGTTGTACCTTAAGTTGGCCTTTTCTGTATCTCTTGTAGATTGCCTGTGCTATATCATTTGATACAACATATCCAGGACCATGTGCCCAAGGAGGATAGGAGTCATCTGGCCATTCCTGAATTGAAATACAAAAGAGAATGAGATTTGATCATATACCACAGTTATAATCGAAAGGAAATAATATATATATATCACAAGTTGAAATTAGAGATGCATCTTCCAAAATCTCATGAGGTTCAAAATTTCACGAGAAAACTCCATAATCCAGCATCCTGGGGGTTATTAGAAAGCTGCTCGAAATGTGCAAAATGAAAGTCTGTGAACTTTTTTTGGTGGGACATGGCTAGGTTTGAAAACTGGAGCACCATCTAACTGAGCTAACGCCCAGATAGAACTTGAATTTTACCTTCCCTTCAGATAAACAGTCAAGTTGAAAGGAGAGGGAACAGGATTGCCTCAAAGCCTCTTTAGACAGAGGATTGTAACCTAATTAATTGCATTTGCCACGACAGAGGTGCCTAATCTTTGACACCTCTTCCTCATAAAGCCTAAGATTAAAAGTGTCATTACGAACTCTCAGTGTTTCATATATGTTGAAACCATATTTTGTGCCTTTTATTGACAGGATTTTCTCTCTTACGTTAGCATAGGGTTAAGCTTTACCCTATAACCACAATTTTCCCAGAATAAGACTTCAGTTATATTGCATTTCTAAGTCCCAATGTCTTCTTAACATTGATGAACACACATATTCTATAAGATATAGCTATGCTTGCATCTATTCCTGTATCTTATGGCTGCAAGTATTACGTGCACATCTAATCTCAGATATAGATTTTCAGTGATAAAAGGATTAGGCCCTAACAATAAACTAACCACAGAATGAGATGCATTCAGGACAAACTTACTTCAGGACTAATGTACCACTTGCTATCAGGACTTCGATGAGGATGTGAATCAGAATTAATGAGCCCATAAAGCAAACCACGGCTCACATTAATCCTATTCAAGGAGGCCAAAATTTCATCCACCCGAACAAATGCATCATCGTCTGTCTTCATGACAAATTTTGCTGAAACAACCTGTGTCTGTTCAAAAGATTCAAGTCAAAGAGGCACTCGAAACTTTCCATGAGCTTTAAAGAGAGGACATTACCCCAAATACGCATATAGCTAAAGTCTTCCATGTGATAAGGCTATAGTAGTCAACAAATGGCATCAGTTGGATGTCACCATAAGTTTTCGCCTCGTTCCATAGCTCCTCATTCACCACCTGGTTTTTATGCTACAAAGCAGAGGTGACACTTTCATCATATTGTCCAACAAATGGCAGGTTAAAATTCAGAAGTCAAATGCTAGGGACATGACTGGAAAAAATGGTACATGTTTAACTAATACAATGAACCGCTCTTCCATGAAGCAACAATTCTTTTGTAAAAAGAGACAAAGTTGTTCCCTTTAATAGTGCCTATCAAAGAATCTCATCTCTTCATTATGGCTCACTTGTGCTGTTGATGCTATATTCTAGAATCAAGCATGTAAACTCAAGAACTACAGTGTGCAAATGAATTGCTAAAAATTGGTAGAGTTTCAGGATTTGGGCATGTCCTAATCCTGTTTCTAGAAGTAATAGTTCACATCAATGGCTGCAGATATGCATGCAGCAGTACTTGTGAAATAATATTGCCTGTAATTAAGTAGATAACTAGGGCAAGATAAGTAGTGATTATCCAATGCAAGCATAAGTGACAAATAAAGTAATCAAGCAAAACATAAACAGCAAAACTTGCAAATCTTACCAGACCAACAAAAAAACGAACTGCAACCGTTCCAGACCTCACAGGACCATACTGCATCCATGTTCTTCGAACAGCCATTCTGCGTTTAAAATTGTTGGTAGTAGAGAACACACCAATGAAAAGATTTAACTGTCTGTGTGGAGGTAGTGGAGGAGCTTTAAGATCTTTGATGTCAACTATGTGTTCTAAATCCTCTGATGTAGGTAAGCCACTTGACAAAACAGAAATTAATTTTATGTTTCCAGCAATCCTTACTTCATTAACAAGCCAGGGTTCCAAAGTCTGAAAGTAACATAGAGATAAACAAGTCAAGGAATGAACATTATGTTGCACAATCTGCAAAGAACATAGGGAGAAAAAGAAGGAACCTACTTCACGAAAACCAAATGATGTTATGTGTTTCCCATCAACTGTCATCTGAATTCCCTCTGATCCTACTCTGAGCGTTGCTACAAATGGATTCCCTTGCTTAAAGGGAAAATACTTTTTTGGTTTAGACCCATCCTGAACCATAGGAGTCTTTGTTGACACATTTAAGTGTTTACCACCCATAGTTGTATGGTTGTCATCTTTCCCAACTATCTGGTTGCACTGGTCCAATTCATCCACTGGCATGAAACAATTAGGTTTATCAAACTAATGAATACAGTACTATACGTGGAAAATCACATCAGAGCAGCTGAAGCACTTGAGTACAAGAAATGACAAAGTCCAATAGAAAGAAACATAAGCTATACATAAAGGTAACTGTTGAGAAAACTGATATTTTGGCATAAGTAGAGTCAAATAGCCCGGTCCTATCTGCATCTTACTTGCATGATAAATACAGTCTGTACTTTCTGATAACATGCATGTAGTAAAAATATAAGCAAATATCAGTATCATAAACTCTTTAAGGAATTTTCAAAAAGACAAAACCAAACTCTTATATCATCATGCCTGACACGACGATCTTATAAAGCAACAAAAGCAGTTAACACAAATTTAACATCTAAAATTGTGAAAGGAAAGAACAAAAGACTATGTACATACAGATTTCCTTTACTTAATGAAAAAAAAAGGAAGTGTCAAAAAAATTAGTCTAGCAAGAAAATTTACCAGCAATTAACTCTGTTCAAGTAAGCATCATTGCTCAGGTAGAATTCCAATTTTGAGATCTTGATCGAAACCAGATTTTTTAAAACTATTTCATGCTTCAGGATAAATATTTATTTGTTAGAAAACGTGCAAATTGGCCATAAACTTCAAGACAAAGAACAACATTTATTTGGCAATGCTTGTCTTGTTTGCCACAAAAGGGGTGCTATGGCTACGAACCGAACATTGCTAGATCCTATGAACCTAAGCAATCAGGTTACAGACATCATAACACACAAGTAAAGAAGTTAATCTATTCATTGCACAGAAAAAAATTAAACCAGAAAAGGCCTTAATATTTACCTTTCTTGTTCTTCTCAGGATTAGGAGATGGACAGCGCTCCTCTTCACCCCAGTCATGTGCAATTGTCCAGGTGTTTTGGACAATTACAGGATCCTCAGTTATTTGATCACCTAGGAGCCTAACATTGTAGTGCAAGATAATAGGAGGATCTGGCTCGCCGGGAAGTGGTTCACCAGTTAAGTCAATCCGAAAATTACCAAGAAGACCATGTGGAATGCCAATAAAAGTGATTGACGAACCCTGGGTTAATCCACAAGGAACCTGCAACCTGAAGCCATTATCATCAAGTTCCGTAGCATTCATCTTACTAAGATAATGAGGACATTGTTTCTCTTTTCCTTTCCTCTGTGAACTCTCATTCATGTGAAGCTTTTCATCCTCAACTGATGCCAAAAGGTTCTTCCACGCAACAACAGCTTCCTTGGTAGCCTCTAAAGCATTAGGTAATACCTGAGCATGGCTGACTAGATGTTGCAAATGGTTCCATGTATGTAGCGACTGCTTTTCTTCATCCGATATATTCCTCCCAACAAAGAGATCAGATACTAGAATATCAGCAGAAATGACTTGAGAAGTATTTTCCGGATTCTGTACTACAGCAGGAGCACCAGCAGTTATCCATTCAAGAGGGTTTGTTGAATTCAGAATTGGGGTCAGACTTGTCAAATTACTTTCCTTGAGGGGGTTTTGCATTACATAATACCCCAGAACCAACAACATCACCAAGGATGTAAAGAAAACGCCGGCATACCATTTCTTCATTTCTCGTCATTACCAGGGCACCTCAACTGATTATGAATCAACAACTACGGAAACCAATTTGAAGATGACAGTCATCTCCAGTAGGAAAGAAGTTTTTAAATAATGAGAGTACTAGGTTGCTGGACTTCGCCAACTTTCTCTTATCTGCATGTTAAGAAGAATATTGTGGATTAAATTCATGCCCTATGACCTCTGGCAACTTAACCATATAAACAGGTACTCATTAGATAAACAAGCTACCAGCTTTCTACTAGCAAAAA